TACTCGGAGGACTTCTGGTAGAGATGTGTTCACAGCTAGTTTCTTCATGATGTCACAGTTAAATCGAGCGTCCAAAATGGGACTAATGATAGCTGGTATGGGCGACGCTGCATCGGCCGCAGGCAAAATGTCCTTGCCCTTACTTTTTGCAAGCGCAAAGCGCTTCATAAGTGGCTCACAGTCATTCATATGCCAATTTATTGTTCCCGTTTCGCCAGGCAGCAGTGATTCTTTGTTGGCCAGGTTAAAGTATGTCTCCACTGGGAAGTGAGACGGTGAATTGATGAAGAAAGCTCTACCCGTTACAACGGCTAGAGAATAGGCAGTCATGAATGCATTCAGTCCTTCAGCCATGGCGTAACAGGGCTGTCGACAGGTTACTACCAGAGCTGATAGAGGTCTCTTTCCATTGCACATTTCCATTTGTATGATGGTGTGTTTGTTGAGCAGATTGGTCCAGTCAGATGGGATGAGTGGTTTAGGATAGTCGATAACCCAGTTGTACATATCCCAGTCCCTGGATTGATTTGGTGCGGCTGGCACTTCTGTTACAACTTGCGGTGCTACTGTTGCTGGTGGTGGTGGTGCCGCTGTTTTTACAATTGGTGATACTACTCCGGGTGTTATTGTTGCTACTGCTTCCGAGGATGGTGGTGATGCTGGGGATGGTGATGGGGCTAATGTGGCTAATGCTACCACTGGTACTCTTCCTGATAGCAGAGTTCCTGTTGTGGATCCTCCACGTGTTGTTCGTAGAAACGGCGTATCCAGTGTGATGTGTAATCCAGTGCGATCAGGTGACCGAATGGTCTGCGCGCCCGAGGACTGGCAGCAAGCATCTGGCAGCCATACTGATAAGAGTGATGCTATCACGCTGCCGCTGATGAGGTAGATGTTTAACGCAACCAATGCAGTAAGGGTGCATAGCGTTACTCCGACGGTTGCTTTAGGCCAACGCCGCCAAGTCGCAACGTACAGTCTGATGAGGCTCTGCAGCATTATGCAACCTCTTGCAAGCAGTAACGCCTGGGAGTAATCAACTATGCTCAACTGCTCGATGAATCAAGATCGGATACAACACCACGGGCACATCAATACGAATATCTGTTGACTTGCAATACATGTGTACTAGGCTTGCCTGCATGCAATAAGCATGAAGCTTGCCGACATTAATGATTAATATCCACCGGGTGTAACCAAGTAACAGCAACTTAGGCCGTAGGCGACCCGGGTCCGTAGGTCTACGAACTCCACTCTGATCTGCTCCACTCAAAAGCGCTAGGCAACTGGAAGAATAATAATAATTACATTCAATGTTTTTATCGAGTATGCGCTGAAAACTCAACGCCGACAACGGACGTGTTGCCAAGCGTCTTCGCAAAGACTCGAAAACGTAGAATGATACTGCTAGCTGGCTAGCTACGTTGTATTGTAATGTTTGTTTAGTTCCTAGTACTCCTAGTGACCGAAAACTAAATACTTCCCGTGCCGACGGGCGATGGCTTGAAAATCGCCTTTCTTCAGAAGGAAGAATGCATTCGTGCTGCACCGGATACCCGTGTATTCTGGTATTGTGCACCGCTTGCATGAAACAGGTACCGGTAGATCTACACTACACAGCGTGAGTCATGCAGAAACACTGGCCTGGGCGCGGCCATGGCCGCAGTGTCACCGTGTACTGTACGCAGTGTGTACATGTATAATAATTACATTTACTGAGTACAATCGTGTTCACTGAGCTGAGGGCCATCTACGTAACCATTACTGTTGTAATCATGTTGGGTGTCGACATCTCGCGGAGTGACTCCGAGTGTCAGCTACATACACTACAAAGAACAAACGGACAATGGCGGGTAGCATATTTGGAGGAGGTGGTAGCCTAAAACAGGCTCGACAAAGTTACCGGCTTATGCCAACAACTCAGTGTTCTGGTAGATCTACATGCCATGTATGTACTAGGCCATAGGACCACTCATCTGCGTGGTGTGAAGCTTTGTGGCACCAAGACTAGCACTTGTACTCTTGGTGGCACACGTCACGCAGGTCACCACTAATACTAGTAATACTAATACTAGTAGATCTCATGTTGTTGGTTTGACAGCATGAAACAAGGTGGAGGACGCCGTGTTCGGAAACAGTGACCTTTCTACAACTAAACCATCCACACACACGGTAAGTTAGGGGCCGTCCGTAAATATCGATGTTTTTTTAGAGACGATATTGGTGCTTCTCTCCCTTGACCCCCCTCCCTCCCCCCAGAAGACGCACATGTACATCTAGATCATGGAATCAATATTAATTTTTTGGATGCTCATGAAGTGCCCAGGATGTTGAGGGTCCGCGTGTAGGCGTGAAAATCCCGCCGCACTCACGCAATAGCTAGCTAGCTGCATCGCCTGGGGGGAGCGAACCGGGTTGGCGCTGCAGTGCTCACAGCCATCGTGTACTGGTGTAGCCAAAGCGGCTACGCTCGGGCTTGAATTTTTTCAAATCCTTGTTCAGACAGTGAAGACTGGAAACTCTTGACTCTTGTGGAGTTCGTCCGTGTTTGTTCGCACTGCCTCTACGTCTTGAAAAAGGTCTCCTGCAGGCATCGTTCGGCCGATTTCCACAATCAATAGCTCATTCTTTTGCTCTTGAAATTCGCCATGGGCGTACAGCTTCCAATTTTTGATTTTGTTCTTGTGTCGCGAGTTTTAGCTCCGCGAACGGAAGCTGGTTTCACATTTCTTGTATAGCCATTTAGACGTCCGCGTGCAGGGATCGGCGAAACTTCAGATATTTATATCGATATTTTTCTGATGCTCGAAAAGACGCACATGGCTCAAACCCCCTCCCCCCCAGACGCACCAATATCGTCTCTAAAAAAACATCGATATTTACGGACGGCCCCTTAGTAGTTGTGGATGGTTGTAGAAAGGTCACTGTTTCCGAACACGTGTCCTCTTTACTCCACCTTGTTCATGCCGTCAAACCAACAACATCATTATGACATGTGTGAACTAAAACAAGTGTTATCTAAAATACTGTTTGAAAGTACAGTGTATCGGTAATAGGTAGGCTCCCGCGGATTATGCTCGCGAAATCATGCTTTCATGGATTCTCGCATTATGCTCCCAAAATCCTCATACAATAGGGAGGTTTAGTTCCCACGTAACGGAAACGCGTACGTGGGTGATCCACGTAAAGTGGATGAAGGGCACCCACTTTGCAATGTTGTGTTTAGTCACACGGAACAAACAAAATCATGAAGCGAAAGGCCCAAACCTGGTCAAAGACGAAGCTACCCGGGCCTAAGAAGCTCATCCAGTATTTTGATTTCGTACTTCGGAAACTTCTTCAGCTGAGCACCCTCACAGCTTGCACAATGCACTCAATTCTGATTTTCACCCACGTTCTAGCGGAACGTGGGTGAGCCTCCATGCATACACGTACACGGTATGTCGCGTCGGGATTCAGAAAACGTCTAGTCTAGACGTCTGTACGTGGCGTGGGTCACTAGACTGAGTATCACGTGGTACACACACGTAAAGTACCCACGGATTACGTGGGACTAAACCTCCCTAGTATTATGCTTTGGCGCACGGGGATACATCGTATTCACTATGTTGTACTCATGGAGCCTCAAAATTCGGAAAAGTGTGCTTTTTTCGTGCTTGCAAGTGGCCATAAGTACATGTACAACAAAATGTTACATGAGTATCCCCATACCAAGGTGTCCATGCATGCTAGAGATCAACATGGAAAAGAGAAAACATTACTTCTTCTATTCATTAGTGGATTTCTTTTCAAAAGATTTTTTCATTGTCAAAATTATTAATTAGTTTGAGTTGCCTTTGAAAAAATTAATATCATGTTCAACTGTCTTCGTGATCGCCATACTCGTCCAACCGATGTCACCCTCACCCTGCGAATAATCAGCTCATCCCTCCCGTAGCTCCACCTCTCCTTCCATCATGACCGAACGTTAACTATACTGTCCCTGCGGGAATTTGCGGAAAAAACTCTAGAAAACTTGCGCAAGAAATTGCGGCAGAAAACAACAAAAAATGCGAAGAAAAGTGCGGAATGATGCAGAACTTGCCAGGAATCCGCGGAATTATTTACAGAAAATTGCGGATTTGGGCCAAATCACGAAATTTGTTGCATCGTATATCTACTCGGGAGTAGTACGAGTCGTACTGTGCAAATTTTTACGTCGTTTTCGAGCTGCGAGTGAAAAGTTCCGGGGTACGGAACGTAGGTGTTTGCCGTCATTGCCTAGATTACGATCGCAAACACGTCACATTCCCGCGCTATGCCTTTTTATTTTGAAAATTTGTACCGATATCAAAACTTCCCGCGGAAAATCGATGTTTCTCGTACCAAATTTGCAAGCGAAAAATCTTTCTGCACCCGATGACGCAAAATCTCCATACGAAACATGGTTCGTATGAAAGCCAGTCCACACGGATTCTCCGTGCCGAAAAATCGTATGGAGCACGCCTGGAAAAAATCCGTACCGCCCATACGGATTTTGGCACGGAAAATCGTACCCCGGAACCTCTCTATTACCGTAACCTATATCATGCATAATGTACATGACATTGTACAGTAAAGTAAATGGTGCAGTGGTGGTGTTAGTGGACAATAGAGAGTATACGCTTCGCGTTTTTTCAATTTCGAATGTGAGATCTTGCGGTCAAAATGGCGCATCTCACGTTGCAACGTGAGATTTCAACTCGACAGAGGGCCACCTCACAGTGAAAAAAGGCGATTAAACGCATGTTTTATTCTTACGTTTGAAATAGAAAAAAACCCACAAAGCGTAAACTCTCTATTATAGCGTAACTTGTAGTTCCTTGGTCCTCATTTCTTCTTTAAAGTTCATCCGGACCACTCGCGCTCGCACAGTGCATCGCAAGAGATAAGACAAGCTGCATCCACCTTGGCCCTGTGCACCAAGCTGTTGTGAAAGCGATGTCGGGGAACTGAAACAAAGTGCACACGCCGCAGGCAGATCACTTGGCACACATCGAGTCCCCAGGGCTGACCAGACATGCACGATGAGCCTTGTCTTCATTGTTACGAGATTGCAAATTCCAGCATGAAACCAAACGCCACATCTGAAAGAACAGAGAGCTCAACAATGAAGCAGTCTTTTAAAGTAGACTGCAGAATACCTAGGAAATAGAGCGAGCAACGTAGATCACAGGGAGTATCAATACAACAATAGAATCCTATGTCCAGCATAAAGATATGTTCAAGCGAATAGAAAACAGCATAAGTAGTCACCAGAGAGAATGCAGTGAGTCAATAAGGTCTAGGAAAGCTTGACACCCTTGCGTGTTAAGTCCGCTCTCGCCTCCTCAATCTCCTACAGGGAAAACGGTAATAAACATGCACGATCGTCACAAGCAGAGCACCACGTAATAGCACAAGATACAAACAGGTTCGTTTACTGTCAAGTCAGATTCTCGAGTCTACATTTCACAATGCGCGGGATCACTGCCAGCCACTTCTGCCTATTATAAGATGCAGGTGACACACACACACACACACACACGCACACCCACTCACATGCACACACCAAAACCCACTCACATGCACACACACGCGCACACACACATCCTGGTCCTGGTAACACACACACATGCACACACATGCACACACACACGCACACACACGCACGCACACCCACACATACATACACCATGTACCCCCCCATACACACACACACACATACCAAGTGGCAATGCTCACCTTTCTCAGCTCAGCGGCAGCCTCGTCGCAGTCATTGAACGTCATCACACGATAGCCGATAGTTGCAAGTGAGTAGCACTGATCAACAGCACATGAAAACGCACAGCAACGGACATGCAATGTCAGTACAAGATAAGTACAATCTGTAGCTTGTCCGACCCTAACAGTTACTTGTATATGCACGATACTGGTGAGTCAGAAAGTGCAACAGCTAGCACATTAATGACCGATACGCTACTGACAATCAACCACCTGATCTTTAGCTCTATCGTGTCTTCAATGCGCAAGCCAACAACCTGAGTTACCTCCCAACTTGGAAGGTTCTAAGTTTTGAAATAACATGAGAAAGGGGAAGGTGCGCTCACTCAAGATGAAAACAAGCTGAACATCACAGCTAGTTAAGATAATATTATGTTAGCTATGACGTGATGACGAAACACGAATGACCACGCACAGGACGGCCAAGGTCCACTTCAAGAACGAGAAACGACGACAACCCAACTTGGGAGGCTCATGTTTATCGGAGATAAGCAAAAAGAGAGGAAGCTACGCGAACATGAAGTGAGATAGACCGGACGACACCATCTCTTCGTTGAATGTCAGTACCAAATCAGTCAGAGGTTATGCGCTACGTATTTTAAAAGTTAGTAACAACTGTAGTCGATCTAGAAACATCACGTACATTGCATGCAGATCCGCGTTCCGCAATACAGAGTTTTCGAACCATGCGGCTGCCTATGGCAACTCCGGACTCGAAAGCAACCCAGAGAGAGAGAGAGAGAGAGAGAGAGAGAGAGAGAGAGAGAGAGAGAGAGAGAGAGAGAGAGGGAGAGAGAATCATAAATCTATCCCCCAATCCACTGACGGAGGTGCTCCGTTAGTGGCGCTCCTTATACGCACTCTCCGTACTAGTCCGTAGACAACTTTCCGTAAGTGGAGTGCAAACTCGCGAATTCACGGGTTTCCCCCGTTCACTTACACAAAGTTGCTTGACTATCCGTAGAGCAAAACCTCTCTATCGTGCTAACTGTTGCACGTTCGGACCCATCAGCATCTTGTCAGCGTTGGACAAACTAAGGATAACATGACTAAACTTTCCTGTAATTTCAATCCCTGGCTCTCTATCCGAGTCTAAGATACCGGTTAAGTGAGATTTGCTAGAAACGTACAATGCTAGCTCTCCACAATTCAATTTTACATATCGTTCAACTGCACACAATGAACGATGAACGCGACTCAAGCCAATACTAGATCTCAATCTGTACTGCAATCATCGTGTACCGGGTACTGTACTTTACTACCAAACACCAGGAGTTCTGCACTAGCTTGATGACCTAGTCTGTCCCCGGGGAAAATCGCGGAAAAAATCGCAAAAACGCGGGGAAAAACACGGCATAATTTGCGGTGTATATTATTGATATGCGGCAAGTTTGCAGTTGATATGAGGCAATTTTCAGTGAGTATGTAGTGAAATCAATCAGTTACAAGTCTCTGGTGTAAGCACTCGTCATATTTGAGTACAAAGCCACCACGATGAGACGTTGCTGACCGAACAGTGCACTGTGTGTACGTGTAGTGCAACAAAAAAGTTCAAAAAACGCAGGAAAATCGCGGAAAACGCGGTCTTTTAAAAAATCGCAAAAAACACGGCCGCGGAATCGCGATTTCCCCCGGGGACAGTACAGTAGAGCCGCGCGTCAAAGAACGTTGTTTCCAAGGGGTTAGTTAGCCTGGGGTGTTCTTATTTTTCAGCAATCTGGCTGCGTTCTTATAGCACGTTCTTAGGAACAACTCGTAGTGGATCACATGTATCCCAAAAGCTTCCAGAGGGCCAATACCGTCTAAGTCCTTTCTTAGCTTTAGGCTGTGGCGTTCTTAGCATTTCAGGTGGACGTTCTTGGGCTCCATGTTCTGCAGCGTGCGACTCTACTGTATGTACTTATGCTTATGTAGCTTTGCTACTAAAATGTACATGTTCTGTCGTACATGCACCCATTCATGGACACAAGATTCACGCATGATACTTGATAGGTTTACTGAAATGGTAACTTCAACGTGCATTGCATTATTATGTACAATCATGTATTCACACAAAGTTGCCTTTCACCTAAAATGCCAGGGGACATTCTAGCGATAATACCTGCTCCCAGCACAGGAAGAAACACAGGCAGAGAAATAGATTTTGGGAGCCCTTACCCCGAAAACAATGAGCAAATACACAGGCAGCGGTAGAAGGACCTCCTGGATCTTCGCACAGTTTACTGGTACCAATTCCAATACTAGTGAAATCCAAATGGCGAAAAAAATACTCGCAGCCGAGAGCCATTGTAATAATTTGGTCATGGTGGCTACAATCAAGGATAATTCACTGCAGCTAGAAAACACAGAGCTGAGGTTGTAAATACTCTGTACTCCTGATTGAGAAGTGAAAAATGCACAATGAAAATCTTGGCAGGTGTATTGTTTTCTGAAATCAGTAGAAGTCTCGAATCTGCTCAGCAAGCGAAGAAAATCTGCTGGAGCTCCGGAGGTCGTTGCCATGAATACGGGCATGGCGTGGAGACGCGCCAAAGATTTTGTAGTTCAAAAAGGTGAAAAATGAACGAAGGAAGAAATACACGCCACGAGTGTGTGTTTGTGTTGTTCCGGCTTTGAATGGCTTTGGAAAATGGCATGTAATGGCTAATGCCAAGTTAGTAACGGTAATCCTCGACATTACACTACAGCTCCTGTTTCATGGAGTATGTCATTAGCCTGTGGGTATATGATTCCTAGAATAGATCCATACTTCTGAGTCCTGACCTACGTGATGTTTCGCAGTGGGTTTGGGCTAGCCGTTTTGGCTGCTCAAATTGTTTTCTGCTTGCATGACGAAACTAGGCAAACAGTAACTGTGTGCAATCCTGCTCTGGAACTACGGCACATCATTACGGGATCCTGCAGGCCATTAGTGCCAGGGTGTTTTGATGGAGAATGGAAATTTGCAGATTCTGTGCTGCTGAGAAAATTCCCCGTGGACAGAGAGAGGCGAAACTATGTTCGCCAGGTGCAAGGTGCCCTGTTTTCACTGGTCGCCCCCACTCCTTTGAAGAGTGACGTGCGCTTTGTAGCCTTGTCTGCAGATGCGCTGCAGCTGCTGGACTTGAACATTCACCAAGTGTCCAGAAGTAAACTGTTCTTGCAGGCGGCAGCGGGCAACACAGTCGTTCCTGATAGCCAACCATCAGCTCATCGATACGGAGGCCACCAGGTACAGCACAGCAGTATTTCTCCTTGGCTTTGTAGTCAAGCACCTGTGTCTGCGTGCACTCTTTTTCCCTGTATTTTTATTTTAATACGTGTCTTGATTAATTAGGGGAGCTGCGGAATAAGATTATAAAAGTTTAGAACCTGGAGTTTTACGGGCGCTGAGTTGAATGATCTTGTTCCGAGGACGCTTCCATGGGCCACTCGCCCGATGTTCCCGATTGAAACCACTACCGTATCCAGGAATTCCATGATGACGCAGAAGTGGGCCAGGGGCCCAGTTTCAGTGCAAAACCACAGGCAGACTTTGGAGCGGGCTCTATTGGAGAGCACTGTATCGTAGCGGACCAGAACCTTGCAGGCGATGAGCCTTTCAATACACTCTTGGCATATGTGTCACCATCCTGAGTGACTAGGGCAGGTGTACTGGATTGCGTTGCATCAATTTTTGTATCAACAGTTTCCGTCAGCTTAGTAGAGTTAGACATGCACTTCCAAAGATTTATTTCAAACTGCACGCCATAGCTTCAACTTGCTGTACATTGCCAGGGCAATCAAGCACGTCTTCGCCACCATTATGACTCATTGTTGACATCCAGGTCACGCAACAGCTGTGTAAAAAATTCAGGATTACACTGATGATTAAGATGATGCTAAGCAGTTGCTGATAAGGAAAGAACTGGCTCAGATGCTGAAGACTACCAGTACCCTGATAACATGCTAATTTGTCCCATCACATTGGTCTTCCCCCCCCCCCCCCCCCCCTCTTAATATTCTGTACATGTCTGCTACACCATCTTATTGGCAAGTAAATTTTGGTGCCAAAAATGCAGTTGTACCTTTTTTGGAGATGTGCCTTTATTAGAGACCGTGCTTTTTAAATAGAATTCGTTAAAAAACACCCATGTAGTGTGCTATGAGGTTGCAAAACGGTACTGTTTTAATATTGTATTTTAACTGTCTGTTCTTTTTGCTGTTCATGTACATTTGTACACTTGTGCGTGTGTGTACCCAGTTTGGGTCTTGGTCAGGACAGCTGGGTGATGGCCGTGCTCATCTTCTTGGTGAATACGTCAATCGGTGAGTGCTGAAGTAGTGACCACTGTGCCTTGAAGCCCCTACTATCTCTTCCCCTCCCCCTCCCCCCCCCCCCCCATCTGTTTTTCTGTATGTCTGTTCAGATAGCATGTCATCATGTTCCCTACATTGCGTTTCAAACGTATGACCATCGTTCCGAAAGAAGAAGAAAAGAAATGAAAAAGCGCTGACTGAAATCCGACCCGAAGTACAAAGCTGGCGCCCTGGTCCCTGGACCAGTTCGGATTACATCATTGTATTTGTACATGTATATGTTCACACCAAATACGCACTGTGGGTCGGATTTCACCGACCGCATCGGTACATGTACAATGTAGAATGTTTTAATGCATAGCGAACTTTAACATGTCACAAGTTGTCTGATGACTGCGTTTAGCAAGACACTTGTAGGGGCGATACACTCTTCAACCTCCTTCGTGCCTCCTTTTGTGTGTAATCCATGGAGAAGTATTCAGTGCATCACTTACACCACACAAGAGAACTCTTAGCGCTAGGTTCAGCAAGAAACCAATCAGGTAGAGCTAAAGCAAAATTGAAGACGTGTGCTGAATGTTTCTACCATAATTATTTGAGCCTTGCCGTGAGAAAACGAGTCAAGTGCAATCTTTGGCAACATGAGACGTGTTCAGAAGATGCCCACGCAACTTAGGAATAATGTGCGAAAAGTAGAGCAATTAACCGTCAATCTTCGAGGATTTCCCCTCATTTTTGTGGCCTCCAGTAGGCATTATTTGTCACGGAACGCAAGCACATGCGCTGCACTTCCAGCTATGCCATGTCGCCGTGTATGCACCGATCTTCTCGCGACCAAGGCCTGGTGAAAGCCAAACAAGTCCACACTCTACACTTGATGTGAAAATAGACGGCAAACCCAACCAAACGGCCAGAAACGTCTAATGAAATTAAGTGCAGTCAAGCAAAACGCGCTGATTTCATTCTTGGTCAAACTTTGAACTTCGTTTTCTGCACCCTCACGTGCAGTTGCACTACATTTCGATGGATTGTATATTTGCATTGTAGCTTGTATGCCCCTCTTTGTGGTGATGGAGTTTTGATGATTGCCGCTAGAAGACGTTTGAGTCAGACTGGTTTTGCTGTATAGTTGTGGATGGGCGAAGTCGTTTTACTTCTTTCTTCATTATTACATTAATACTGTACGAGGAAATTTGCAAAACTCATCTGAGTACAGTCCCGAAGAAACCTTTCAAAAATGTAGAACCGAATTTGAATTTAAATCCCTGTGTACTGCAGACCGCCCAATGTTCGCGTCACTAAATTTTCGCGATTTCTTAGAACCAGCAAGTTTGCGATGGCAAAAGTTCGCGAAGCACCGGGGCCACATACATACACCCACTGTTGAAGCTTGATTTCACGCTGGTTAATATTCGCGTTACGCTCTTCTCGCGAAAATAGCGAACATTAATCCGTCGTGAATATAAGGCAGTTAACAGTATTCACTTTGTTTTCCTCTTCCCTGCCCTGTATGCCCTGTATGGTGTAGGTATGGAGACAGATGGGAAGTGCAGCTGAAGGGGTCTGGTCGAACTCCGTATTCCCGGTAAGTCATAGCACCATCTATACACACACACACACACACACACACACACACACACACACACACACACACACACACACACACACACACACACACACACACACACACACACTTGTACTTGTTGCTCACTGCCAAAATTGGTCACGTGAGTCCCCCCCCCCCCCCCCCCCCGGAAGAGGGGAGAGACTCAAAAGGAATCTTGGAAAGATGACTCAATTGGTTATTGAACCGCCCAACGGCCGACACCCCCTGAAATCCCCAAAACTCTGGGTGGACTTGAAAATGATCTCACTTATGGGCTCACCACACCTCAGTAAGTGGGTGAGGACAAGGTGCAGAAAAAGGATTGACGGCATCAGGGTAACCGTCCTGGGAATGGGATCCAACTGCAGTTACCCCTGCCCCCAGTGAAGGTAATACTCGCTACTAGTGTGAGTGGCTAAATCAGAATGGATCTGATAAAAGCTTCACTAGCACCATTGATTACACAAGAGTTAATCTAGCCAGAAGCAGTTCATGGTTAACAGGTATGTATACTTCAAATAGAAAGTATACGAACCCTGGAACCAACAAAGGTGGCAGGTACACCATTACACCTTCAAGCAGCCGAGCCTGTTGGCAACAGACCCAACACAATTAGGCATAAGTGAACCCGCCAACCGAACTAGCTGGCGAACACACACACACACACACACACACACACACACACACACACACACACACACACATGCACACACTGTGTTTGCAAGCGAAATACCTGTCAATGTCGTGTTCTTCACCAAAAGTGTACATGCTTGTGCTGGCATTGAGTGTGGACATTCCGTGCTAGAATCAGTGTTAGTAGGCAGAGGAAAATCACTTCCTCTTTATGGGGGATTCACACACATGGGAAAACCTGAGGTCACGGGACAAGGTAAAAGTTCAGACCGTCGGGAAGCCGAGTTGGGCCGTTCACACCCGTGGTCACTTTTCCCTTGGCCTCATGTTTGACCATGAATTTGTGGCGGGGGAGTATGAAATGTAGTCTGTACTGCATTTTTTGTAGTACATTCTGTACTATGTTTAGCATTCGCAATGCGCGATTGCAAGCAAGGTCAGCGCGCTAGTAGCGAGGTCAAGATGAGGGCATTTATTTCCAAAACAATTTCAGAAACACAATATCACATCGGTAGTTCAGATACTACATACCGGCACATAGATCATGATAATAACTACTGGTATGAGCACGAGGCAGTTATTTTCAATTTGCTTTGGTTTGATGTTTGGTTTGGTGTTTGTTGACCATGCTACCTTCACTGTTGCTGTTGTTGCTATTTCGGGGGCTCGGACAGCTTTCACCGAACAGAGCAATTGAAATAAACTTCAGTTCTGGTTCAAGTGATCATGAAAGAGAGCTTCTATTTGTTCCTCGCCGTCGGCGCGTTCAGAGGCGTCCGTCCTTTTTTCCATTTCCAAGATCGACTTCAGCTCGCCCAAGCGGTTTCAGCACGCTATTTGTGTCCAGTAAAGTTTCTGACGAAGTTTCCTATGAAACGGCGCTTCTGGTCAGCCAGTGTAATTATATTGACATTGGATTCCAGACAAGGCACATAGCAAGCCATCTGCATTCAAGATTGAACAACGGCCGTAATGGCTCAGCGAGACACAACGATAATGCTACAAAAACAAAAGCTGCAAAGTCTCAACACCTCGCACAACACGTAGGAAAAACAAACATACAACCCAAGTTTATAAAATGATTTCTGTCCAGGGAAGATCCGAGACACTTCGACATTGGCGAATCGCAGCAGTTCCAACACCTCGCACAACACAGAGGAAATAGAAACATACAAACAATAATAAGAAACCAAAAGCTAGAAAAATGAATTCTGTCCATGGAAGATCACACTTTGACATTGACAATATCGGCACATATACATGTACAGTCAACTTCGCTAATAACGACTAAGGGTTTAACGACAATTCGCTAATAACGACTAAGGGTTTAACGACAATTCGCGAATAACGACAGAATTTCCATGCCCAGAGCAAAGTCCCATCCAACTGGAATGCGTACAATGAGACTTCGGATACAACGACACTTCGTGAATAAGGACACTTTTCTGATGCCCCGCCGAGTGTCGTTATACGCGAAGTTGACTGTACCGTATTTGTCGGAGTATAGTGTGCACCTTTGTATAAAGCGCACCCCCAATCTTCATTGGGGGTGCGCACTTCAATCTTCATTTAAGTACATGCATTTCATATTCGGAGCATAGTGCGCACCTGCGATTTAGGGCCTAAAATAGCACATCTAAAGTGCGCACTATACTCCGGAAAATACGGTACAGTAAAACCTGTAACTAAAGACCGGCACCGTGACTAGCGACCAGCCTGGTACTACCGACCACTTGGCCTGCCACGGACGGTCTCACATTCAAAATGCACTGTGACTAGCGACTACCTGCTGAACGCGACCAGCGACCGCCTTTTATTGTCCCAAAGACGATTTTTGACCCGTAACTAGCGACCGAGATGCAGGAAATCAAATGTTGCTCGAAGCTCCTTCTTGAGATTTTGCTGATTTTCCATGGTCCTTAAAGGAATTTTTCGGTACTACAGCTGCTTTCGATACTACTTTCGGTACTACAGCCGAAGAAATGAACGCAGGCCATTATGACTGTGGAGTCGGTGTGGACTGCACTACACCTGTCAGAATTTCATGCGCTGTCAAGAATAAACATGATGATAAACGTCTTTTAGAGCGCATCGGAAGCGCTCTCTGCTCGATGTTACTACTCGGAGGAGAAACGAAGACTGAGTGGCTCTGTCACCTCAGTCATACAAATGAATCGACGATGGCGTCAAGGAATCCAGAAACAAAGCAGCACCGCAAGGTCCTGAAGCTAAAGGATCGCGTTCAAACAATCAAGAAGTCACAACAAGGATAGTCAGTACGATTGATCGGATGAACAAATTTGAAGCCCAGCGCAAAACGAAACTTCCACAGGGAACGTTTGACTCCTGGCTTCAGAAGTAGCAGCTGAATTTGATGTCTGCAAAATAATTTTCTTCTCTCTCTCTCTCTTTTTTGTCTCTCTCCATCTCTCCGTCTTTCTTTCCAAGTGTTGTTTGACCTGAAATAAGAATGGCATTGCGCAAGTCCTGGGGAATTTTGTTAGCTGCATTTTGATATGCATATCATATACTGGGATCCATATATGGTCACACGGTGAAAACCTCTAACTAAAGACCACCTGCTACTAAAGACCGCTTTTGCTGGCACCAAGGGGTGGTCGGTAGTCACAGGTTTTACTGTACCTGGAGAATACAGAAATACACAACATAGCAGAATATAAAGGAAAATGAACACTTGTTAATTTTGAAATATGACTGCAAGAGAAGCAACACAGAATCAATGTGGTGAAAGGCATTATTTGCCATATTTTGTAGCAAAGTTGCCATGAACTCCATACCCATGTGTTGCATACGTTGGCCATGTTCTTCAGAATTCTGAACCAATCGCTGTTTGAACTCCCTGTCTGTGACTTGCGACTCCTGCATGAATTTCAGACGTCGCTCTTCAATTCTTTCATCTGCCGTCTGCCTCCTTTCTTCCAACTCTTCTTCCCGCTCCTGCCTATTTTGCTCTTGTTTCGCCTCGTGATCCATCCATCGCTGTTACATCTTTTCATCATGCTCAAACTGGGCAGTTTGCATTTCTGCCTGCACCTTGGCAATGCCCTCCAATATCTCAGCAGCGGGTGGGCCGGATCGCCAGCCAACACGTGATTGCTTTCTTGACAGCTCCTGGGGCGATGATTCGGATTTTGAGACTGCACATCCTGCACGAGCCACTGGTATATCATCCTGATCTTGGGTGAGCGGGGTCTGAGGGTCAGAGACCTTGTCTGTCTCCCTGTTCATGTCACTACGACTTCGCTGTGCATCAGGGGTGAACAGTTCTACATCCAAATCGGGATCGTACAAATTTGAGTGTGCTCTTTTCCTGGGCGTCAGCTGAACATCGATGTCGCTAGTCATGTCATGAATCATCACAGGCGCAGGCACTGGGGGACGTTCCTCGGTGGCGGGCCCTACATCGAGGCTGCCGATGCGCTCCCCAGGACCCCACTGGGGATGTTTGAAGAACAAGCGATGGTACACCTCGAACGATTGCCACGAGGCGATCGCAGCCTGGACGTCTATATTTGAAGCGTCCAGAGATGTTCCAGTAGCGGTCGGAAGGCGATGGATCTTGTAACCATCATGGCCTTTCTTTCTCATGGTATCAATTTTGTTATGCACTTCCGTCAGGGTAAACACTTTCGCAGATCCATCCGCTTTTGTTCTCGCGTTTAGCCGCTCATGGGCCACCTTCTCTTTGGTCGCCCGTGTCTTCATCTCCTTGTCGGTGGAAATGAGGAGATTCGACCATATCTCAAGGAGATAGGCTTCTGCTTTGTCGTCGAACGTTTTGCTGGGTATTATTGCAAAAACACTAGGAGGAAAAACTTTGCACCTCAAGGCAACAACAACCAATCGAAAGGGAGGCTGCGATGTCTTCCTTCTGAATGCTTTGTCCGCGTGGGCACATTGTCTGCAATGCGAGCGAACTGTCTGAAAATGCAGGTTGCGATGCACTCGTACAACTAGGGTTCAGAGTTCTCGCCACAGACAAGATCTACGCACGTGCGTCGAATAGCCGTGGCCTTTTTTCCCTTGACAAACGCCCTGAGGCCCACGGCCACGGCTTTTGCCAAAAATTTCCCGACAGGTTCTTCCTTTCTCCCATTGCCATGGTTTCTATAACAACTTTCCCTAAACCGTGGTTTTCCCCGTGTGTGTGAATCCCCTATTACGTCTCCCTGTCATGTACATGGTCATGCCGAATACATTATTTCAGTCATTTCATTCTTCTTTGCTCTCGGTGCAGGCATGGGGATGGGCGTGCTGTCTTGCGATCATCTGTGCGTGAATTCTTGGTCAGTGAGGCTATGCATCACCTGGGAATACCAACCAGCCGAGCTGTAAGGTATGCTTTGCCATGTACATGCGCACACACTGGTCTCGACACTGGTTTTGTCTGCATGCTGGATTGCATTGGCATGAAGGTGATCACTCAGTCATTCCCGCAGTGAAATGGCCTTGGATTCTTTTTTTATATTGGCTATTACTGACTGCATCTTCTACGCACAAGCCATTGCCTAGCCCCTTTAAGCTGAATGGACCATGTATACATGCTGGTGTGTTCGATTGGTACGTGTGAATGTGTGTGTGCGTGTGTGTGTGTGTGTGTGGGTGGGTGTGTGCTTGTGTGTGCGTGCGATACGTGTGTGCGTGAAAAAGTGTCCCTCTGCCTGTTCATGTGTGCAATTATCTTAGCTTAGTTGCATCACATGACCCGGTTCTACGGGACCAGTTTTACAATGGCCATCCTGAGAGAGAGCCAGGTCAGTAGTGATCTTACAAGTACTTTCAAAAAATCTTTTATAAGTAAACCTTGCACTGGTGAACTGATCAACACATGGGACAACATTTGCTTGAATTTTATTAGTAATTTGACTATTTTCGGAAATCGAATCATAACTTTGGTTTGCCTTGGCTGATGTTTACAATCTTAAGCTTCCTGGAAGTACATGCTCCCACATCGGTATAAGGGCAGTGCCGTGGAATCCAACCCACACCATTATAGCAACCCTTGTGCGCGAACAGCTCCACTGGTTGTGCATAAGCGTTTCTCGCATGCACTCACACACATCACATGCACTAGCACCGTCATACTAGCTATCTCTCTCTCCCCCCCCCCCCCCCTCTCTCTCTCTCTCTCTCTCTCTCTCTCTCTCGTCTCAACTGGGTCATAATTCAAGCTCTCGCACAGATGGTACACACCGATTATTCTCCAGGTTGTGTACTTTGGTGGAGGCTCTCCTGGTTTCTTGAGGATCTTCTGTATCTTATGTGCATTCACCATGAAGCATGAAATGGAAATTGGGTGTGTTAGGATTGCTGTACATTGCATTGTTAAAGGAGTAGAATAATTAGAGTGCTGTTTCTTAGAAAGTTGTTTCTCTCTGTCTTTGCTTTGTTCTCATAGCGGCCGTTGTGATGCGTCTAGCGCCATCTTGGTTTCGAATTGGATCGCTTGAGCTTATGAATGCCAATGGCGAGTTTGATCTTCTTAAGTGAGTGGCTCTGTCATTTGCCATTAGCTCTGATCATCTTTGCGCAGCACAGCATAACTCATCAGCATTATTCATTCCTGGCTTCTTCCTCCAATTGAATGGAAGTTGGTAGGAATCGGTGAACATTTATTGTCGTGGACATTGAAATGCGATGGGATGACTGTGGCCTGCGCGCGCCCTTACTGCTTGTATCGCCTACGTGCACTATAGTTCATGTACACACTGTAAAAAATGGCCAAGGCCAACGGCACCCCATGGCCACTTGGCTTCTCAGCGTATTTCAATGTCCGCTGCAATACAACCGCATACAGTCAACTTCGCTTATAACGACACTCGGCGGGGCATCAAGAAGGTGTCCTTATTCGCGATGTGTCGTGATACCCGAAGTCTCATTATATGTATTACAGATGGGATGGGACTTTGCTCTGGGCATGGAAATTCTGTCGTTATTCGCGAATTGTCGTTATATCCGCAGCAGTCGTTATTAGCCAAGTTGACTGTACATATCTTTCTGACCCTGTACACAGAGATTGTACCGTGTAGTCTTACATGTAACTGTAGTGCAGAGCCAGCTTTGCGCAGCTGTGTTAGACTGGGTGCTGGCCTACGTATTGGGAAGCACTAGCATCTGAGACCCCAAGAGTCCCTTAGCTTCACAGAAACCACCCTGTATGGCATCTTAACACTTGTGTAAAGTGATGCGTATGTCTGAATCGGTATACTACGCAAGGAGCTGAAGTTCTTGCACACAAACGCGATAGCGTTGTTTGATCAATTTTTTTGTGTGTGTGTGTGTGTGTGTGTGTGTGTGTGTGTGTGTGTGTGTGTGTGTGTGTGTGTGCATGCATGTACATGTATGTGGTGTCCTTACAGATCTACCGTTGATTTTATCATTGAGCAGCATTTTCCCGATTTGCAGTCCTCGCCGGACAAGTATGTGGTGAGCACTTCCATACAGCTATGCGCAGTGGCACAGCAACGGGTTTTTGAGTCGTGTACATGTGTGTGTGTGTGTGTGTGTGTGTGTGTGTGTGTGTGTGTGGTGTGCGTGTGTGTGTGTATGTGCGTGCGTGCGTGCGCGTGTGTGTGTGTGTGTGTGTGTGTGTGTGTGTGTGTGTGTGTGACTGGGGTAGGTTCATGGTGGTGAAACTGCATGCATGATATTTGTCTGGATTGAATGTCATCTGGCTGCGGTCAATGGATCTGCGTGAATCCGCAGTCCTACTGCAATCGACACTGAAAGTCACTGGCAGCTGGCAAACTAAGTTCGGATCTGTTCACTGTGTGTCTGTAGAACTTCTTCAACTCTGTTCTTGAATCAACAGTGGATATGGTGGCTAAATGGCAAGCTGTTGGCTTTGCTCATGGTATGTGTTCATGGTATGTGTTCATGGTATGTGTTCATGGTATGTGTTCATGGTATGTGTTCATGGTATGTGTTCATGGTATGTGTTCATGGTACATTTACTTGTATTTTATAATTTAGGGGCCGTCCAAGGTTACCAATTGTTTTCTGTTTTAACCCTTTACCAGCCAATGTGTACATGAATGTGTCGCATTCGACGCACTCAAGTGGGAAACTTCAAACAATCGTAACTCTGTCAAAACTCGCCCTATTTCAACGATTCAAATATCCAGGTCGAAGAGAAAACTCTCAGCTTTCCATACAGACAATCCGCGACGAGCTACGACCAGTGGTGTCTGAGATATATCACTCGCCAAAATGAGCCGCCATAGCGGCAACTGGTGCGCATTGAGTACTACTCAAAATGATCACATTTTGAGACTTTTCGCTGACCGGGTCAACTCTAATTTGCACCGGTTTCACTTGTGAGATTCCTAGGAGTTCACCGCGAAAAAATCGGAAACCATGGAGCACCTCCGTTAGAAGTACCTTATATTCCGGAGTCAAAGCCGCAACTTTTAAAAAGCACTCACAATTCACTCCAAAAAGTCTTAACCCCTTTACGGTCTCACATTTAAAAATCGATCACCGGTGATCAATTTTTTCTGGACGGTGTTGTGAGGCCATTTTTTGGCCCTGGGGTACTAAAATTTGGCAATTTGGCACGCGCGTAGCTGAAGATCATATCTTTCCAGTGGTGTGTCACACGACCATGGTCCACGTACAAAAATGTTGTGCAACGGAGCGTTGAACGGAGTGTGAAAGCTCCGCTTGCGCCTGCAATGCTTGTTCACTCTGAATGGTGAGGTGCATGGCGGCAAGCGAGGCTCTTGGAGCACCTGGTGATGACAGTGGCGATGAGCCGCTGTCCTCCAGTGATGCCGGAATGTCGTCTGATGAAGAAAGCGAACTCTATAGAGCTTTGAGAGGGGTGGAGAGCGAGGGCGATGGACAATTTAGTAGCGAAAAGGAAGAACAACTCGGAGAGCAAGATCTTCCTGCCGATCAGCTGCGTGGCCTATCAACAGCAGGGCTGGGCAGTGAGAGCGAGTCCAGTGATGATCATAGTGAAGTGGGTGATCAGCTGATCAGAGAAGAGAGCTCAGAGAGTTTTGGTAGCGATCGCCAGTGTCGTCGCGAGTGTGAAGCCGTGCTGATGGCGGAGGACGCGGCGGTGGCGCGCAGTATACAAGCAGCAGTGATTCTCGGTCTGCTGAACAGGCGAGCGGCGATGCCTCTGACTCTGTTGTTCACAGCGACGATGCCTCCGCTGATCGCAGCAGCGACCAGGGTGATGGAGAAAGCAGCTCGTCGTAAGAACTTCCAGCAACTCGTGGCGGAGCTCAGGGTCGTGGCGGTGCAACTGGCAGAGTTCAGGGTCGTGGCGGCGCAGCTGGCGGAGTTCAGGGTCGTGGCGGCGCTGCTTGCGGGAGAGGCGATCGTGGCCGTGGTGGTTGTGGCGGAGGACACGGTAGAGGACTTGGATGACATCACCCTGCTGTCAATGCCTGGGTTGAAAATGTAGACCAAGCCCCAGTGATTGCTGACTTCGCTCCTGAACGACCTCCTGGCTTCCACCCTCCTCAAGACGTTTGCTCCTCAGTGCGAGCTATCTTTCTTCAAACTTTTCTTCACTGCTTAACTCCCTCAATTCTATTTCAGCATTAACAAACAACTATGCTGATCACCATATATCTCAAGGCCTTTTCTCCTCCTATGCTACAAAAGAAGGTGTGTGGAATCTGGCGACGTCACAAGAGATTCTAAGTTTGATTGGATGTATTGTGTACATGGGAATCAACTCTTACCCGACTCTAGGGCAGCATTGGAGTTCCAAGCGAATGGTCCAGGTATTTGGACTGAGAGGAACAATGCAGTCCTTCGACATGTTTCAACTGCACCACAAGGTCGGCTACGTCCACCATGGTAAGCCTAGCTATTCTCAGCACACCTCCACCGCTCCCACAAGAGTTTGTCGAGACACGGTGGAGTTATATCTACGAAGCACTTACGTGGTGGAGAAGGTACGGCCAATCCTGTGTCAAGCTGGGCCACAAGATCTTGGAGTTCCTCCCCAAGAGTGACAGCCACTACTCGATCTGGGAAGAGATTGTGCAGATGGCTGCAAACGAGGAAATCGGCAGACACCCCGCGCTGCTCCTTGAAGTACTGGACCGCCTTGTAATTCCAGGCCTACATGATTGCCAGGGCTGCGATGGTGAGCTGAAATTCAGCTGCGGCTTCCTCGCCAGGTCTTCGCCAATGAGAGTAGTGAGCGACATCAATTTGGCAAATTTAGTGGTTGGTTGAAGAACCAGAATTCGTTTTGCCTCTCACTACCGCGGCCATAGCCGACTGTTCGCCCGGTGTACAGCAGAAATTCTTGTCTGAGCAGGTGAAACCGTTTGCGTAGCAGTGCGTGGACTCCTTACAGAAGCATGCCACTAGATGGCATAAGTTCCCTCTGCTGTTTGCGCTTGGCGGAGACGGTGTCCACAAGCACTTCTTCTGGTGCTCGGTGTTCCGAGCGCTCAATCATCCCGTAACCCGCCTGCATGATCTCTCGCAGAGAACTACTTGGATGTGCACGCCATGCTGTTGAAGACTACATTGTCGCTGAAGGATCCTGACCAGCTACTGGCGGCAGCAGTTCAGCATGGCATCCTTTCTCCAAGGAACTACCTTCTAGGCGGCATGCAATGGTTCCTTGAGTTCGTGATTCTGGCAATCGTTCCTGCAGGTGAGTCGGGCATCAGACACTGGCTGCAAAACTGCCCTGTGTCTGACGTGATGATGGCTGAGGCGAAGAGCATTGCTGAAGGTTCGACTGGACAGTGCTTGTATCCGGACGAAACCCCAGAGACATGGAAGTGATTTGCCAAGCACATCTTTGCTATTCCTGTGAACAACGTGGTCGCAGAGCGACAATTCAACATTGCCCAGCTGTACGTTCACCCGAATGAGTCAGAACTCAGCAAACGAGCCACACACCTTTTTGTGGAGAACATCATTCACAAAACAGCCAACACCCAGCTCAGCAAGAAGACTCGACGGAAGTCCACAACGAGTATGACCTTCACCATGGCGAAGAACATCAGCAGGCACATGAAAGAATACTCTGCGACGGTCACACCAGAACGGCTCTCAGCAGCTCGAGAGCAGGTCAAGAATATCAGAAGCAAGACTGCAGCTCGAACGAAAGCAGCTGCAGAAGTCTACAGCGACTCCCTTCATGGTCATCGCCAGCGACCGGACCATGAAAAGAATATGACGGAGATGGAGAGTGAAGCACGAACCAGGCCTGTCGACTACGAGCGGTGTGCGCCACGGCAACCCAGGCAGTCCGCCACACAGCCGGCTGAAACTCCTGAAGCCTAGATGGATCTGTAAGTCGGTCTTCTCTCTAGCTCAAGATTTTGTGAACAATAAAAGCAAATGACACAGTGCAACAAATAATTTGAAAATGCACTTCTCCTTCCTTTCCTTGCTGTGCGCACTGCAGTTATGACAGGAAGGTGTTTTCTGTTTGTGAAAGAACCAGCGCAAATCGTGCGTGGCGCGGCGTCCTTCAAAACGACACAAGTGAGCTCCACATGAGCCGATTTTGACAATCGATGGCTCAGATATTTTAGTAGGAGATGCTGCATACTTTGACCAAAGCGAATTTCGCCAAAACGATCGGAGAGGTGGGACACGTTTACCGAGTTTGAGGGTGTTATTTGAGGTCTAAATTGCGAAAATCCAAATATCCTTCGGTGAATCCCTTTGCCCACATCTGAACTCGGTTCTTGCAAAATCCCAGCCTCCTGGAGAGAACTGTGAAGAGGCCAGAGTCGACGTGAAGTACGGCAAGATTCCCTGTACACAGCATGGTGTGACACATGTCAAGTGAACCAAGATGGCGCCCACGTGTTTCTGTACAAGTACTAGCCCTGAATATCCATGGTGACCACGGATTTTTTTTCAAATTTTCCCTCAGCATGACAGCATGGCCCCTAAGGACATCCTTGAGACTGAAACGGCATCTCTTTTACTACTCTTTTGGCAACACAGGAACAACAAGAAGACCACTACACTGCTTCACGAATCACACCATTATTCTTGTTTGACTACCGTACTTCCTTTATATCAGTGTTCATCATGCTGTGCATCATGCTGTACATCATGCTGTACATCATGCTGCTGCTGCTGCTGCTGCTGCTGCTGCTTAGTGAGTGTGTCCACTTTGTGCTGCCTATTCCTCACAGGTGTGTGTAATACGGACAACTTCAGTATTCTATCAGTGACAATTGACTATGGACCCTTTGGTTTCATGGACAAGTATGATCCAAGTAAGATGATGAGCATCTGCTTTGTGTTAAATGGTTATTACTAGTGCTCAGCAGGGATATTGGTGTTGCAATCAACTGATGTTATGTAGATTTCTCTCTGTGAAGCTGACTTTTTAATTGCCACTCTCCACTGGATATCCCACCGGCTATCATGCTTGGCTGGTGTCACTTGAAGGAACTGAGACATGCATCCTGTAGGTTCTTGGCACAAGCAGACTTCAAAACGGAGCCACAATACCTACGCACATCGCCCGCCCTTTTGTCGTAGTGACACTGAATATTTTATCACGGATTTCGTGAAAGTTGACCATGAATCTTTGCAACAATAGTGAGTTTCTGCTACATGGAACTACGTACCAAACTCCGTGTCAACTGCAGTGAAGTTTGACACGGATTTTTCGTACGTTGTGCCGGTTCTGCTGTGCGTAGCATGCTCGTAGCATGTTCAAACTTCCCGCCACTTGTACTCTGCTCACTCAGTCTTCACATGGAGACCAGTCCGTGTGAAGCGCGCTTCATACGGAAAACGGTTTGAAAAAATCCGTGTGAAACTTGATCCCGTACCGCGACGCGGTTTCCATACGTACTTTGGTACGTTTTACCGTGTGGCAGAAACTCTCTAATGGCTAAAGCTGTAGTGGCCCTCCTTAGACTGAAGCGTCACCACTCTGATACCAACTTTGGTTTGCTTCTCTCTTTTTTTGCTATCAATCACGCTGCATTCTAGGTTTAGTGCCGAACACATCAGATGACGAGGGGTTGTACCAATTTCAGAATCAACCCAACGCTGCCAAGTTCAACTTGCATCAGCTGTGGCAAGCGCTGGGAACTCTCTTCAATGATAGCCGCACGTTAGTTTTTGCAACATCAGCTTAAAATAGTTGTCATAGCGGTGTCTTGTTGTCTTTCCCTTTTAGCTGACTGGACACTCCATCCACGCACGTGATTTGTCTTGCTGCTAGCGCCTGACTTGCTGATAGGCTGGTTTAATTTGCAACATAGGTACGATGTATGCGAAGTCACATTTCCTTTCCTTTCATCTGTGTGACGCAAACACATTGCTCTTGTGCAGTATGTTATGCTTGTGCGGGCACCGGTTGCTAAATCATGACTGATACGTGCATGTTCGTACTGTCCACGCTTGAAAACACCTCACTCCTGAACACTTCGCCGCAGGGTAAAAAGTGCCCAGAATATACTGCGTTACCCATACTTTGCCATAAGTAGTTATCCGGATGGAGTGGTTATACATGTACCTGGCTTCCTGATGTGAATTAATCCGCCTGTACTTTTCCGGTTGTATACCATCTGTACAGAGCATATCGCCAGTTGGAAAGATTTGATGGGATCTTTGCAGATAGGTACGTAATCTTGGGACGCTGTGTACATTATTACGTTACGTAGTAGTTTTGGTCATCTCTTTGGACATCTTTGTAGTGATTGGTTGGTTAACAATAGGAATTTGAGTCTCTCAAAGGCATCCCGAAACAATCTGAAATGGCTGTTTCGGGTTACTCTGCCGTGAAATCCGAGTGATTTTTAGTAATTTTTTAAGCCATTTTTGCTACATTCCGCTTTTGAAACTCTTTGATTGCCAAAGCCTTTGTGCAGTAAGTCTCCTCTTTCCATAGTCTTCCCTTACTTCTTTTTGTGGATTGTGTTGGTTGCACTCGGAATGCCTGGCTTTCACCCACAACAGTTACTCTTGCTTCTATCTGCATGTCTTAACGTGCCTCACCCCTCACCCCTGATAGGTATGTAGAACTCATGAGGAGAAAGCTCGGTCTTCTTGGTGCTGAGGATGGTGATAGAAGGATGGTATCATCCCTGTTGGAGGTTAGTGCAAGCGAGCTTCTTATTCAATGCATGTCACCTCTCAGTGTATTCGTACAATCATCTTGCATTTCTAGCCGTATCTGGGCTACAATTTATTAATTAAAGAAGTAAAACCAATAATTGGTGTAGCCCAGAGAACGTGTAGAGTGTAGAGATGATGTGTGGATATACTGGATGGCTATTTAGGAAGATCTTTACGAGTGAAGATCTTGACCCTGTCCATTGTCCATTAGGCAGCAATCTGTACTAGTTAGTTCTATTTTTCTTATTTGAGCACATGCTTTTGAATTTGAAGAACCTGTAGCTATTGATTGCAGAGTATCTCCAATCAGATCGATCACTCTACGACTAGAACTTGTCAAATTGACCATTGGACAATGGCCACCTGGGTGTGTGCCTGTGTGTCTGTCTTGGTTTGTGTCTGTGTGTGTGTGTGTGTGTGTGTGTGTGTGTGTGTGTGCGTGTGTGTGTGTGTGTGTGCATGCGCGCGCATGCATGCATATGTGTTTTGTTAGATGATGCATACAATGTTTGCAGACTACACTATGACGTGGAGAGAACTTAGTGAGATATCACTAGCTGATCTAGTCAACAGCACCTTCACTGCAGTAAGTTATGTCATTATGTAGGCATGCGCTTTTCCTTAGCCGCAGCCGAATACTTTGCACTGAGCACATTTCTTGTGGTTCGGCCATGGCTGTACCTGCCATATCAGCGGAGCTAGCCCTGGTGGTATAACCATTATGGCGGCAGGTAGCAATGATTTTCCTACAAATTTGAGTGTGCTTTGATTCTCTCCGTGAGAGCTTCCCAAACAGCTCGGCTCGTAATAGTAGAAAAGTACAACGAAAGTTATCGTCAAAGTCAGTGATGCAAGGAATGCTATGTTTGACGAACAAAATTATTATTCCCTAGACTGCCTAACTTTCAACTGAACTACTGTAAGACATGATATTTTGACGAGCTGCAAATTTAACGATTTCCCGACATTCACATGTTAACGGGAAGATATTTTAACGATAATGGATTTTAGACCGATGTCCAATTGTCCAGCTCGGTGAAGCAAGGACCGACACTAGTACATCCAAACAATAACAGAAGAAAAAGATGAATACAGGTCTACCCTTGTTTAGACATTCCCAGCGGTTTCAAAATATTTGCCTTATGTATAGTCATACTGTACACGCCTTAGAAATGCTCCCCATCATACTGTATGTCAGCGCCTTTAAAGCCATGGCCTTATATTCGAAACACCGCTGCTTTCCTAGATATTTTAGATGCAAAATGACTCACCCACTACGCCATACCATAAAAGTCAAAGTTCATTTCAATCTAAGTCTACTTGTTCACCCTTCCTGCTGGGTTGTAAGTTTGTTAGCATAGTACTTATTCCTTCATTTTTACAAAAAAACATACTTCAAATGTCATTTCATTTATGGTTAATAACTGAGACTGGCTTTATAATCGAATATACCACCATGGCTTTAAAGGTGCGGACATACGGTAAGACAATTTTCCATCACACCCCCTTTACGGGACAACATACATGAGCGTGGAGTAGCACAGTTTACATTCTGTGGACCGTCTCAGTACACTGCACTGCAGCATAGAATACAGTAGACATGCTGTAGACATGCTGTAGTGGGGGGGGGGGGGGGGGGTAATCTTTGCTGAACACATAGATGTGCTAGCTGGGGCAACCTACATCATTAAGCAGAAATGTTGAAATCTGTATAGTGCACATTGCACTGGCAACTGCTCAAAGAAAGAAAGGAAAAACTTCAAATATAAATTAGAACTGATAGGACAAGCGGCAAAATTGTGACTTTTATCTGGGAACAGGAGAAAAAGCTGAAACAGAGTGAAGGAGAGACCCGGAGAGGAAACACAAATGGAGAGAAAACGTAAACAAAACCTTGCGCTTGAAGTCAACAAGAGAAACAGTCATTGCACAGCTTAGCATTTTTGTCGAGCGCCTGGCAGCAGTGATGGTAGCGCTTTCGGCAACGGGCACACACTCTGCAGATGCGAATATCCACCACATCACAAACTTCGCATCTTACCGGACTGGGCTCGGAGCTCTGCCCAGCACACTGCACGCCCGCACTGCTTTCCAAGTCCAGTCCACACTGCGCCGGGAGCTGCTTGCACGCCACATCATCATGAGTGGGCGCATCACGCTCCGAAGATGTAGTGCAGTAAAACCTGGTTTAAGCGACCACCCCACGGTGCAAGCAAGAGCGCTCTTTAAAGCCAGGTGGTCTTTAGAACCAGGTCCCACAGTGTCTGTGTAGAAGTGTCGGTGCATGGAAAAACGGTCGTTAAGAGCAGGTGGTCGCTAAACACAGAGGTCGCTTACACCAGGTTTTACTGTAGTAGAAGTAGTACATGTATTTACTATTTTACTAGGGCAATCCCCACAGACTATTAAGTCTTTTTACAGGGTACCCTTGATAAGTGCGTGAAATAGAGCTGAATGAAGAAAACCGTAAATGCGTGAAATAGAGTAAAGAAAAACGGTGGCTGCGTACTATGCCATAATGTATTGCAAAAGAGGCTGCGTAGAACACTGTTAAAATTTGCGAAGGAGGCTGCCTGGCGGCATGCTGCTGGAAGCGAATTCCACCTGTCAGCAGCGAGGTAGGGCAGAGCGTAGAAGAGGCATTAGGCAGGGCTAAAGCAAGGGTGGACTGTCCCCTGGTCAAGGCATCCGTATGGTTGCTATTTGATCTAAGTACAAAAAGCTTGGCAAGTAGAGGGCTGCGGTGGCCATGCACACATTTAGAGACAAGGCAAAATGTTTTAAGGTTATAACGGATGGCGACAGGAATGATTTGGTGGCGGTGACAAAATTTGTCTTAATGGTGGCTGTTGGGTGGCATGGTGGATAGCCAAATGTTATCCTGAGGCTACGCTTGAAGCACCGAATGAGTTTGTTGTATAGGGTTGCTGATATGGTGTGAACGTAGCAGTTGCTAGCGTACTCCATGATGGATTGGATAATGCTTAGGTAAAAGGAACGCTGTGCCTGGGTAGTGATGTGATGTCGTATTCTGCGGAATGCGGCCAGCTTACAGTTGACGTCAGCAACAACTTTCCCGACCTGCTCCTTGAAGGCGAGGTGCTGGTCGACTAGCACTCCAAGGTAACGGACACACTGGGAAGTTACCACAGAGGACAGTGAAGGTAGGTGGAACTGGGGTTGTCTTCCGGTGGACGATTAATATTTGCGTTTTGGCGGGGTTCAGTAGGAGGCCCAGTTCCGTGAGGTGTGATTTAACCGCATCAAAGCTCTCTGATAGTCGGTTCTGTATCGTGTTGATGCAGCTGCTCGATGTGTAGAGTCTTAAATCGTCGGCGTAGAGCATGTTAGATGTGTGAGTTGGTGTGACGTCTGTTACGCTTCTTGTGTAGATCGTGAAAAGACCGGGACCCAGGACAGAGCCTGGAGGTACTCCCGACTACAGGTCACGAAGTCGCCGGGAGTTTTAGTGGAGGGTTTCGTCACTGTCTGTCGACGAGCGCTTAGATAGGAGGCGAACCAAAATAGTGCTGTGCCACAAATACCGCAAGAGTAGAGCTCGTTGATGAGTGGCTGGTGCTTGACCCGGTCGAAAGCCTTGCTTATGTCCAAGAATAATACTCCGGTGTACTGACCGTCATCCAGGCGTTGCTGCATGTGCAACTGCTGTCGCCCAGATCTGACTCTTGGGTGGCCACAGCGGAGGCAACTGAGTTGTCTTCGGAAGATACTGGTTCGATCCGCCTGCGTCTTGGTAGACTTATTGTAGGCAGGTCATCCTGGGACGATTCTGGTACTTCCACTGGAATAATGGCTTTGCTTGAAGCGCTGGCAAAGAAAGATCGAAGCTACCGCAAGCGGCGCGTTTGAGGAGGAAGTCATCCACTGCTCCGATGGAAGAGAATATGGGATTGTCGTGCGTGACAGCCTCCAGCGAGGTCACATAGCTCTTCGCCGTCTTGACTTTGTCAAGGAACGCTGCCTTCACATTGGGAAAGTCTTCAGGGATCTTTCTCGCAGTCTTGGTTCCTTTGCGCTTCACATATCCCAGGCGATCCAGAAATGATTTGGCCCAGGACTTGGAGAGCTCCACTTGTCCACCATGCTCCTTTAGCAGCGAAGGGTTCTTCTTGTGATTTACAATGCCCCTAGCCACTGCGATGACGATAGAGGATCTGATTGGTGAACCACTTGATCTAAGGCCACGAAGAACAAGGTCCTTTGTTGGCATGTCCAGCTCCACAGGTAAGACAAGCGGATGCCCTCGCTTTCCGCTGGACAGAACTCGCTGTGAATCGGCTTCAACTCCTTGACTTGACGTAGCTGACTCTGCAGGTTGCGTTTGAAATTGCGAACCGTGGACTAGTCCACTGGATGCCCAAGCTGAGTGGAGAACTTTTTCACAGCACTCTTGTTGCCAAACTCTAGTGCGTGCTTGCCAATTTTAATGCGAGAGGGGGGGGGGACTTCCAACACTTCCATGAATAGACAAGCTTCAGTGGTCAGACCTGTCACCAAGATTGCCTGCATCGGTTTCACTACTAGAACTGCTGGTAGAAGCTGGCTCTGCACTGCTGCTACTGCTGCTGCTGCTACTCAACCAACTCTCTGGGAGAACGTTGTCGACCTCTTTCGCTTTCTACTGACAGAGACTCCTGCAGACTGAGCAGCTACTGCAGCGGCGTCCTTTCCGGCAGCCAGGGCTCATTGTCAGAACGCGTCGCCTCGTCCGCTGTGCGGGGAAGAAAATACCTTGTGATCGACATTGCTGAAACCAAAGCTCAACACTCTTTGAAAAGCAAGCTGTCGATGAAACAGCCCGTAATGATGGTCTTCATTCCGACAGACTACTGGACTCTTGCCTTGGTTCAATCCGTTGAACCAGCCCATGTGCACCGGCTGTGCAGCGCGCGGTTCGCGCACGTGCGCAGGATCAACAGCATGATGAGAGAATGCCTGAAAACATCACTCTGCAGCACACAGTACACACGTTCTTGCAATACAAGTGCAAGTGCATGCACCCTGAATCCCTGATGCCGTAGTACATTGCACACATTTACCGTGCTGACCAGACTCCAAAATAATGACTTGCGCGGCATCAACTCTAACGGAATTAATTTTAGCGAAGAAATTTCGCTCGTTAAAACTCTAGATTTGCAGCCTCGTTACAATTTCATGTCTCACAGTAGTAGAGTTTGGTGTATGCTGTATGTATGCTGTATGTATTATTTTGTATGTGTGCTGTATGTATTTGTATGTATTTGTATGTATTTGTATGTGCTGTATTGCTGTGTGGCATGTTCTTATGTAGGAGATGTGGTCTTTGCCGAAAGTAGCTGAGCACGATGATTGGAAAGCTTGGATAGCTGCGTACGCACAGCGCATCCGCAGGTCAGTCACTCCAAGATCCTACGAGCTGTGTTACTTGTACTTGTACCAAAAACACTCATATATGAGCCCCAGACTGTGAAATGGGTGATATTATCGTATTTTGACGAAAATGAGTTCTGTACTGATCCTAAAAACTAGAAGTCTAAGTGAACAAAATGCAAAAATAAACAGTGGAACAATCCCGGATGTTGAGCCAATAGGATTAAAGGGGAAGAACACCCTAAAATCATATTTTCACCAGTTGTAGTCTTCGGGGTGCTGAGTCGTATGGTCTTGGTCCGAGGAAGCTGAGACGCTCCCTTCCTCCTTTATTCCCAATCGAACTCGCCACTTCCACCGAAACTGGGTGACAGCACCCTACTAGATGGGGATTTGTATGCAACGTGTCACTAAAAGCGCCATTTCGTTCTTGTAAAACCACGGATGACCGCGATTGGCCCATATGTTGTAGTCTTTTGGACGCTGAGTCGACTGGTTTTGGTCCGAAAAGGCTGCAATGCAGCGTTCGGCCCTTATTCCCAATCGAACAGGGTTGAGTAAGTGGTCACGTGCTCATGTGTCCACCTGTCGCCTGGTCACCGTGCCTGCAGGCTTCAACTTTCACACCAAGGTTCAAGTCAAAAGTTCAACTCTAGTGACAGAACGAGCCCAAACAGGCTGTAAGTTGTAGTCTGCAGGCATGGTGACCGGTGTACTCATGAGCATGTGACTGCCGACCGTCGTCATTTTGCTTCCTTCGCTTTCCGATTCTTGTGCGTTTCCGAGCTCGAGTGTGCCATGCTCGACAACTTCCTCGTGTCGTCGACAGTCTGGTTGCACAGCTTGCAGAATAGATGATATGCCAAATAAGCGCTCGAAAAGTTGAGAGGGCATGCGATTGATGCGCCCAGGCTTAGCTTGTCAAGTGCATGGGATGTGCAAAGTACACGGATTTTAGGCTTGTTGCGCGCTTACGCGATCAGGTGCTGCACGTGCATGAATGGAATGCATGCAGTTCCACTGTTATTGCATTTTAGCATTCCGTCGGAGAAAATTTTCGGATGAAGAAAAGGAACTCTGACACCTTTGTGCATAGTTTGCTTTCAATTTTTCATTTTGATACCCGGATATGGCAGCAAGAAATAGTACACCAGCCATAGCTTCTCGTTTTGCGAACCCACCTGTCGGCGAAACGATTGCTAGATGGACTTTTGCTCAGCTGAAGACGTACATATACGTGAGGGAGAGATACCGGTAGATGGAAAGCGAGATGATTTGTTGCAGAGGTAAGACCGACAGATATTATTTTATTCCCAACGCCCCAGAGCTTAGGACGGGGGACAATGATGGCAGTCGGCTCCGAGCAGCGAAAGGGCGATGAAAATCCGTTCCTCCTTCACTGGTCGCTACAGCAGCGAATACCTTGACACCATCTGCATCGGGAACAGAAGAAGCTGCTTCTCCGCTGAATCCATCAAATCATAGATGCTGCTCAACAAACAGACGCAGAATTTCCCACCGAGGCCTGGAGCCATCGCTCGGAGGATTTGCTAAGTGGTGTTTCTGCTAGTGCTGTACTCCAGCATCTTCAGAATCGAGAAAGGTACCTAACGCCGGACACAGAAACCATTCGGGGATGAGTCCTTCTTCTCGCCATTCGTTTACAGTGTTGAGTGTTGCTTCCCAGAGCCAAAGAATTCTGGACCGCAGAGATACTTTGTCAAGGCTAAGTGTTGGGCATCTCAAAAGAAGAAGGAGAGCTAAGTGTGTGCAACAGTGCTAAAAGAAAAGCATGTACTCGAAGTGATGTCTGCATATTGCACTTGCACTGCAGCATTGCATGCTCCTTCCACCACATTGTTGCATTGCTGCTGACCATCAACTATTGTGAGATGAAAGGTCAATACCTGGCATATGCAACCTAGCAACAACAGCAATGGGGCACAAGGGCCAAGGAACGTAGTTGCGAAAACCCTTATCAACCACCTGGGCATACTGACACTGGCAACATTGATTTGCCTTTGTACTGGGAAATCCCGCCTTCCCTATCCCACATCACAGAGAAGGTGCTTCTAACAGAGGTAATAGCAATAGAGCGCCATACCCAACAGCAGATTGGCAGCGGCATATGGCATAGGCTGAGAAGCAAGACCCTGACTGCTTCGCGGTTTTACCTCATCCCTCACCCGAGTGAGATCACATCAGCGTTTCTTCCGTCATTGCTCCAGGCAACCAGTTTCTCATGTGCTTCCGCTATTCGTCAGGGCCAGCACAAATATAGTTGTTCTATTTTTGTTGTATTTATCATTTTACTAGGGCCATCCCTGCAGACAATGCGCCTTTTTACAGGGTGCTCGGGGTAAGTGGGAAATGGCGTATTGCAAAGAGGTTGCGTAGAAGGTTGTTATAACATAACAGCCTTCTACGCAGCCTCTGCGGCATGACGAAGGAGGCTGCCTAGCAGCATCCCGATGGAAGAAAACTCCAGCTATCACTGCTATCAGAGACCAGGTGCCTGTATGTTTTGCAAAGAGAAGCCATGTCGTGAAGAAGCATTAGGTAGGGCTAAAGCGAGGGTGTACTATCCCCTCAGCAGGCCTGGTCAAGGCTTCCGTAGCCAGCGTAGGGTGAATATTTTGACCTAAAAACAAAGTAAACTCTGCAAAGAGGGCCTAGGGGGCTGAGGCGCTACTATGGCATGGCAAACAATAATTACTATAAAGTTTTAACGGATGGCGACGGGAATATTTTGTGGCGGTGACAAATGGTGGCTGCTGGGTAGCCAAATGTTATCTTGAGACTCCGCTTGATACGTCGCATGACTGTGTTGTCCAACTCCAAGGTTACTGATATGATGCCTTGTCTTTGAATCGGGATACCCGCAGAACTCCAAACATGCGACTGTTAGTCATTTCGCTCAATTTTGCTACTTTATTCTTGCAGTCACCCAGATTGCATTGAATACTGTCGAATGCTTCCTCCAGCGTAGGGACAGTATGCCTAGGATAGCACTAGGTATAAGTCGTATGTCTTCAGGCTGCTCCCGTGCAGTAGCTCACGACACGAGGTAGAGCGACGCCGGTTAGCATCAGCCGCTGTTGTCTTGGCGGACCAGATTGAAAACTCCAGATACAAAATGTTTTACCAGTCTTGCTCTGGCGATTTTCTCCCCTTGTAGATCTACATAATCTTCTGGCAAGAAAAGGTCAGATCACACCACTGTAGTGTCACTTTCTTTTACTCTCCTTCCCTTTCCTCCCGTCGAATAGCAACAGTCCATTTCCTTCACAGTTCCGGATGATGGAAATTTATGGAAAAGACGAATACCATTTGCTGGGGCTGGGGAGTAACGCCGGTCACCAGTACATCCTGGAACACAGCAATGGTCGTGGTTGGTCGGTATCCGAAAACAAGACAGCGAAAAATCACTCCAGCCGCTATATTAAAAGCAAGCAAAACTGTTTCTTCTATCCAGATTTACAGCTTTAGTTTCAACGCCGAAGGAAGTGCTAAAACTAGTAACGGTGGAACTGCATGCATTCCATTCATGCACGTGCAGCACCTGATCGCGTAAGCGCGCAACAAGCCTAAAATCCGTGTACTTTGCACATCCCGTGCACTTGACAAGCTAAGCCTGGGTGCATCAATCGCATGCCCTCTCAACTTTTCGAGCGCTTATTTGGCATATCATCTATAGTTTACTGCCGTCCTCGTAAATATCTCCACCAAATTCACGAGCGCTATCTTCAGCAGTTTTATTTAGTATTTACGCCTTTCTTCGACAGGTCAACAGGTTACGTAGTCACAAACTTGTCCTCCATTTAACAAATATCAAGCGGGAAGAAGTGAAGGCCGAAGTCGGAAGAGTGAAATGAAAAGTGCTGTGGAGCGCGATCTGGGCACCTTGCACTGCGTGTAGCCGTCAAGCGTAGGAGTTTTGTGCTTTCAGAGCCATCACAGTGACTGGGAAGCCCTATATGTGCCATGTGTATTCTATAGGGGAGCGCCCTACACATTCGCGGGAGTACCAGTATGTGACGGCAATGGCTCGCAACCCAACAGTGGTGTGTAGCGCAACAAAAACTTTATGAATCGCCGAGAGAACAGAGTGGCATGTCGGAAGGCTATGTGTATGAAGCTGTGTTCTCTTTGTGAAAGATGTTGTCTAGCGTGTTTGAGCATCGTTTATGACTTTCCATACTGCAGACAAATGCAAGTACATGCGGACACGGATGGCCAGCGTCAGCAGAGAATGCAAGGTGCGTTCTGGTACTTGATAGCTATGGTGTGTGTTGTCTGTAGCGAGCGGGTATAATGTTGACAGTCAATGCAATGTAGCATGTCACAAAGAGGAAGGGGAGATCCACAGGCAGAACAAGGTATACGTGAGCTTTACGTGCAGACAGTTCTAGGTAAGTGAGCTGCACAGCCAATTGAAGAGATCAGTAGCTCACACTGAATGTGCCTATATTGGTACTCAACACTGTTCACACAACACACTTTCCTCTGTTTGTATCTCAGGTATCAATCCTCGCTACATTCTTCGAAACTACCTAGCTGAGAATGCTATTCGCCAAGCAACCAGTGGAAATGATGACGAGGTGAGGGAATCGTAAAGGTTGCCACTGTCAATATTCACCGTTCTCTTATCCGATGTCAATATTCACCGTTCTCTTATCCGATGTCAATATTCACCGTTCTCTTATCCGATGTCAATATTCACCGTTCTCTTATCCGATTTTTACTTACAGTAAAACCTGTAACTAAAGACCACCGTAACTAGCGACCAGCCTGGTACTACAGACCACTTCGCCAGGCACGGAAGGTCTTACCTTCATGGTTGTGCGGTGCAATCCTCTAACTGAGGACCACCTGCCACTAAAGACCGCTTTCTCTGGCCCCAAGGGGTGGTCTTTAGTTACAGGTTTTACTGTACTTAGTTGACTTCACTGCATGATGATATGGTAATATTATCCAGGCACTACAAGTACTTATAGTAGTAGCTGTAGTGCCTGGAAAATATCGTTTTACCTGAGTACAGTGTATACCCAACAGGCGTATGGCCTCCTTACAGGGTGCCCAAAGGGAGGGGGGGGGGGGGAGGGTGTAAGCAGCTGGCGTGAAAAGCAGGCAAGGTATGCTGGGATCCGTGCGTTAGTGACTAGTGCATTTAAGTTGTCAGCACCAAGAAATGAGAGGCTAAAGAAGCCTGGCCGGGACTGGGAAGAAAAGAGACCTTTGAAGGGACTTAAATGGGGGAAGAAATGAGAGGCGGCTGGATATTTGGTCTCTGGTTCGGGGGAGGGGGGGGGGGGGGGCAGTGCGGGTAGAATCATTGCGGGTAGGGAGGATTTGGTCAAATTTAATGAGGGGACTGCCAAGGGACGTGATGCCGCAGAAAGTAAAAATAATTCAAGTGTCAGGCGTAGTCTTAGTGGATGGAGATGGCGACAACGCACGTTGGGCTTTAATAATAACTTCTACACAGGAAGGGTCAAATACAATGCGAACAGTCCTAGAAGCTGGTCATATTCGGCTGTATGTAATGAATGCACATACCATGTACTGCACGTTTTCAATCGTTCAAGACAAAGGCCTACCGGCACCTGAGAGACAGCAACTGGTACTGGGCAACAGATTCCCTGTAATTGTCGAGCTCGTCGCTTGCCAGACCCGCGTACCCGGCCTTGCTCAGAGTGCTCAGCTGTGTTTGCATACATGTATATGGTACACCAATCCAAACACTGATAATTCACAATCTCTTTTTTATCTTGTTTTTTCTCTCGCTTTTACTCATTCTACTTCCCCATAGCTAGATCTAGCTTCGCTTTACCCTTCTGTTTCCTTTTTCCTGGTGCGTGCTTGTGACATTGAAGCGGAGACCTTTGGTCGGTGGAGCCCCTGGTACCTCACCATCACTGCTGCCCAGTGCAGCCCCTACTCAGTACCTGTTTGTTTTGTCCACATAATTATTTATTTTACGAATTGGGTTTGTGAACATTAGGGCATGTTCGATTGGTAGGATCGGGATCCCGATCCACCGGATCCACTGGATCCGCACCCTTTCGATTGGTCGAATCTGGATCCGGATCCTTCGGATTTGGATCCAAATGTGACCTTTGTGCGTATATGGCGAGTAAAAATCGTTTTTGTACACATTGTGGTACGCCCACGTGGATGGAGATAGAGCTTGTTGACTTTTTGTACAACTGGCGCGGTGAGTACGACTTTTTATTACTTCGTCAACATGGCAACAGTCAAGGCCCAAAAAAAGTGTCCAGTTGACTCTGAAGGATCCGACGGATCTGAGATCTGGATCCCGATCCCGATCCTTACCAATCGAACATGCCCCAAAATAGTAAAAAAAAAACTGGAATATTCTAGCTTTCTCTGAACTACTGTATTTTCCGGAGCAATAAGCCGCACTGGAGTACAGTAAAACCTGTGACTACCGACCACCCCTTGGTGCCAGCAAAAGCGGTCTTTAGTAGCAGGTGGTCTTTAGTTAGAGGTTTGCACCGCGCGACCATATATGGATCCCATTATATGATAATATGTATATCAAAATGCAGCTAATACAATTCCCCAAGACTTGCGCAGTTCCATTCTAATTTCAGGTCAAACAACACTTGGAGAGAAAGACGGAGAGAGAGAGAGAGAGAGAGAGAGACAGAGAGACAGAGAGACAGAGAGAGAAGATTTTTTTGCGGACATCAAATTCAGCTCCTACTTCTGAAGCCAGGAGTCAAACGTCACGGTGGTCTTTGTCGAAAGATTAGGATTCCCAATCTCTCGATTTATCAACACAGGTCACAAGTCCGATCTCACCTCTACAGGTGGCACACATCATAGGACAAAGGAGTCTGTAGTAATCGCTCTTTCCAGAATAATACTAGAGAACAACAAAACTGAAAACCACTCGTGTCCAAGAAACGCCGCAATAACCCACCACCGTGGGAGAAGAAAAAACACATTCGCAAAAGCGCGCCAAACTGTGCTGCATGCACGTGCCTTGACAAGTACATGTACAGTCATGCATACGTGGGCCAGAACAAGTCATACAAAGCACGGGAACGTGGGCATGGAACTAGCGTTTTGTACTGAAACAAGAACAGGCACAAACATGATACAAATCGCGCGACAAGGTCGCCGCGACACTCCAGCCGACCGGGAATGTACACCGGGAGGTAACTTATAGAGCATAAACAATGCAGATACACACGCACACACACACACACACACACAACAAGCAGTTAAACAGGCATACAGAGAGTTTTATGTGCTTGTGAGGTCACTGCCAATTGGACCAAGCACCACCTAATCCTCACACTCTGACACGGTCAAACTTATCAGGCGTGTGGGATGTGTACGTGCAGCAACGATACAGCTGTCCACTTTGCAATATTCTGCCGGACCTTGTCAGCTGCCGCACGAGTTGGTCGCTGGGGGTTTCGGAGACAATCGGAGACGGGACGACTGGAGTGGCTGGAGAGCCAGTAGCAGGGACAGGACAAACAGCAGTCACAGGCGGGCTCGCAGGAGCGGAAGGTGGACCCTTGGAGTGGACCACCCCGGCTGATGGGCTGAAGGATACGCTGGTCAAGATTCATTCGGAGACGGGACGACTGGAGTGGCTGGAATGGCTGGAGAGCCAGTAGCAGGGACAGGACTAACAGCAGTCACAGGAGGGCTCGCAGGAGCGGAAGGTGGACCCTTGGAGTGGACCACCACTGCTGATGGGCTGAAGGATACGCTGGTCAAGATTCATTCGCAGACGGGACGACTGGAGTGGCTGGAGTGGCTGGAGAGCCAGTAGCAGGGACAGGACTAACAGCAGTCACAGGAGGGCTCGCAGGAGCGGAAGGTGGACCCTTGGAGTGGACCACCACTGCTGATGGGCTGAAGGATACGCTGGTCAAGGCAGCGGCTGGGGACGTCGTGGGGGAGGGCTGTGGGCACTGGATCGACTCGAGTTGGCGATTGCCTCCAGTTCCGCATCTGCTGTGGCGAGTCCGGACGGGTTCTCCCTCTGTAGAACGGTACGTGCGTCTCTCAGGACTTCCAGGTCATCATCGAACTCGAACTCCCACTTGTCGAGTTGCTCCAGGCGGTCCTCAACATCCGAGGAAGTCGCCTGTTCGGTCAGATCGCGGATTCTAGCCTGTGTGGCATTGATTTCAGCTGCAAGGCGTTCAGCCTGCTGCCAATCTCGTAGCAGGTAGTGTGGTGATGGAGCGTCTTTGGCAAGCTCCCGGGTTAAATTGTGGCGAAGGCGTGTGAGTCGTCGCTTCGTGTTTGCCCTACACTTTACAAGCTGGGCGATAGTCTCCATCACTCTGGTCGGAATTTAGTAAATAAACTGAGGGAAATCCTGGTCACAGCACCATGTCGAAAGATTAGGATTCCCAATCTCTCGATTTATCAACACAGGTCACAAGTCCGATCTCACCTCTACAGGTGGCACACATCATAGGACAAAGGAGTCTGTAGTAATCGCTCTTTCCAGAATAATACTAGAGAACAACAAAACTGAAAACCACTCGTGTCCAAGAAACGCCGCAATAACCCACCACCGTGGGAGAAGAAAAAACACATTCGCAAAAGCGCGCCAAACTGTGCTGCATGCACGTGCCTTGACAAGTACATGTACAGTCATGCATACGTGGGCCAGAACAAGTTATACAAAGCACGGGAACGTGGGCATGGAACTAGCGTTTTGTACTGAAACAAGAACAGGCACAAACATGATACAAATCGCGCGACAAGGTCGCCGCGACAGTCTTTAGTTACAGGTTTTACTGTATGTGTGTGTGTGTGCGCGTGACCATGTGCAGGTGAAACAACTTCACAAGGTTTTACAGCGTCCGTTTGACAGACAGGTTAGATAACTGCTATGTCACTTTCTTTGCATTCTCTTGTTATGAAAAAAGCTGGTCCTCCTAGATCTAATGTGCATTCCGTTCTCTGGCTTTGGCAATTTCCACTGCCTGCTACTTGTAGTGACCATGTGGCTTTCATTGCATTCACACTACAGTATGAGCGGGCACCGTAGTGCACTTCGCCGAAGAGCACTTAGGCTGGAAAATGGCACACATTGAAGAACAATCCAGGCTAGATTTGCAGATCTAAGAACACATGTACTGCTGTATACGTGGTGTGATCGCATCGCATGATGTTCTCCATGATCGCAGAAAAAACAAAACGACTAAAATCTGAGCATTTTAGAGCAATGCCAGGCTGCGCCTTGAGCCCCTTTGTTTTTCGGCGCCCCATCTTCCTGTTGGCGTATACTAGTACTAGCCTTTTGTATACCCTCTTGTACTTGTTCATTTCAGGCAATTGCTGAAGAAGCTGGCTATGCATCTCCGCCTCCCGCCTGGTCAAGGAGCCTACGCGTCAGTTGCTCATCTTGATACCGGTGGCACGACTAGCCGGCACTCTCACTGGCTGCATGGCCAACTGTGACTGCTCGTTCCTCCTCACTTGCAAGTTGCAGACCGTCTCAATACTGCAACGTCCATGCCCATGGCACGCTGCTGGCTTGACTTGTAGGTCAAAGTATTCAGTTGCATCTTGCCTGGACATATACCTACACCTATTCTCCTTGTTAATTTCCTAAAAGACTTTGATTACAGGTTTCTTGTGTGGTGTGATAGGCGTGCCTTGAATAATAACAAAACATGCAGTAGAATGCGTCGTGTTGTTCATGTACATGGCATACACGTCACGTGGTGCACACATTTCACCGGAGTTACCCGCAGTACTGCAGTAGTGTTGTACCCACAATGGACAACATGCCACTGTTGTCTGCAGATTGAGTGTCCCGAATATGTATTTTGGAAAGTACTCTGGGGATAGGGCTTGAGTTGAAAGTGATGGCGTCAGAGTAAACAGATAACGAGAAAAAAATGCTTCTGTATCCACTCTGCCCTTAGTGAACTACTGTATGTAGTGGGTAGGCCCCTTGTGCCGAAAGCAGGTGCAATTGTGTTCTGTGCCAGGATTGGGTTCCTGACCAGGAGTGGGTTCCTGGCCGGGAGGGCCTATGACCCAGTCCAGTCGCTATCGGCGGATGTGTCTATACTATGCTGTGACGGAGAACCATCCAAACGTGTATGGATCCATACTAAAACTGGACCCAAGTGGATCCAAAAGTTAGCACTGTCATGACTCCGGGCTGAATTTGACATAGCACTTTCAAGCCCTGTAGATGGCGGCTGTATACTAGGTACTTGTTATTAGGATGTGATCCAGAGCGCTTGGCCATTCTAAACTGATATGGAGGGCAGGCCAGGTATTGAAGTGATGGTGTTCATAGAGAGAACCTAGTCTGTCAAACAGAGAGAAAACAATACTGAGCGGCCCTTTCTCTACATTTCAATGTCCACGACTCGATAGTAGTATTAGTTTTCCCCTTCGCCTACTACAGCACTGCTCAATGAAATGCGATCGTGTGAGTCAGCGTCGTGCCGGGCGCTACACAGCCCCAGACCTGCAAGCTCTGAGCTATACACTGGTGTAGGGTGCTAGCTAATTCATGAGATGAGACTTCAAGAAGCATGACTGTAGCATCACGGAAGTACATGATTGTACTACGTGTTGTATCTGCCGTGTGTGCAGGTTTGAGTTGCAACACTCTACACTGCGTTGTGCTGTAGTTTGTAATTATCCTTCCTGCTCGTAGGCTGGTGTTGATCTTTGAGGACCAACTTTGCCTAAGTTTTTCCGGATAGCCGGCGCATCCTGCTAATGCAGATTACAGATCCTAGATAGAGCACTGCATGCTGCTGTCAACACCATTGTTGGTGACAGGAAAGTCACTTCCTGTGTGTTCCATGATTGGCGGAAGACCCAGGAGCTGGAGTGTAGCACTCATGCACTCATGCAGTGTGTGCTTGTGTATGTGTGTGTGCGTTTGTGTGTGTGTGTGTGTTTGTGTGTGTTTGTGTGTGTGTGTGTGTGTGTGCGCGCGCGCGCGTGTGTGTGTGCTTGTGTGTTTGTGTGCGTGTTCCATTGATTGCTGACATGAGAGAATGCAAGTGTGTATATGTACGTACAAGTACATGTACTAGTATGTGTGTGTGTCAGGGTGTGCCTGTTCATAGATTATTCCGTGGATTGAGAACAATCACGGTTTCATGCAAAGCGCGCCCCAAAAGTAGATTGATTGGCAGTTGGCTCAGAGTTCCCAGTGTTCTGATTGCAGTGTCCCCTCTTCAGCGTACAAAGAGCCTTGCATTTAGTCACAAGTACACGCATTTATGGGGCAAGTGCTGGAACTATACTGGGCCATTTCATGACGTGAAATGTAACCCTTGTGGTGTCCTTGTTTCCTGATCAAGAAGTTTCCAATGTATCTACTAGTACACTGGACATCTACACATTGTACATCTGCATGTACAATGTACACAGTGGCAAAGTACCTGCAACTGTTACATCTCTTGCACCTGGCGGAGTTTTCAATTGCTAGTTTCTTGTACTGCACGGTGGCATTTATCTGATTGGATTCTTCTCGCCAGTGCAATTTGCATTGCAAATAGCCCCACTTTACTTGAGGCAACGTTCTACTGGTTTTCGCCTCAGTATGTACAGGGTTGTTAAATGCAAATCGACCCCTGGTTTCCCACCAACCACTGCAAATATGTAATAATTATACTTTTGAATTGCAAGTACGGAAGCTGTACTCGCTTTATTTGTGCGTTCGAGCCGATGCATGCAATGCGTGTGCTTTCTTTCTTTTTACAGCGAAGGAAGTGACCGAATATGCTAACACTACGGTAGTAACAGAGCGATGCAGATCCCTTCCTGACGTATGCATGCATTGTAGGTACGCATGTGAGAGACCGGGGGTCAATATTTCTCTCGCCGACGCTGTACTGGTCTTGCTGCGCAGAAAGTATCAGTGGTGTGAATATGTACCGGTACCGTTTACATGACCTGTTAGTTTGTGGTGTTTTTTCTTGGATCAGCTCATGTACATGTACATGTATACACAGTTTACACACCCACCTCTTGTGTCTGTCCCATGTCCCAGCGTATACCCTGTACACTGTTTACATCTTATCCGTTGTAATGTAGAAAACATGGTGATACTTTTGATTGGCCTTAGCCTTGTGTTCCATGCCGCACACAGCACACAGCTATAATAGCTGTGTGCGGCATGGAACACAAGGCTAAGGCCAATCACGGTGTACTTTGTGATATAGCTGTGTGCATAGAACACAAAGCTATTTTAAAAAGGCCAATAGCAGTCTCCATGTACCCTGGGTTCATGACGTGTAGCTGGATTGTGATTTGTTTTAAAAACATCACCGGGGGGCCCCACAGGTGGAATCTGCCTTTTACATGCGCCGGCAGTGTGAAATCTTGATAAGTGTATGGACCTGGAGCCCACCTGTAAACTGTCATGCAGTACTTGGCTTGTTGCAATGCAAGCTGAGAAAATTCCGTGTCCATTTCCAAGTAGAAATTTAATTTGTGTTTAGGAATAGCAATCAACGTGATTGTGCATGTCGTAATGTAAAAATATTGTGAAAATATCTGGTTTATTCATCCCATCCGCCTACAACATATAAATGACGCCACCTGTATTTCCACCCCATCAGACTAAGTTTCAAGATTGTTTTGTACTACAACAATATCATGTTAATACGATGAACTTGTACATGTACTTGTACTTGTGAATAAAGAGGTCGGCTGCAGAGCGCAGTTATGGTGTGGTGGCTGATGAAAAATCTGTACCTCTGAGTAGAGTATACTAAGTACAGTCAACTTCGCTTATAACGACACTCGGCGGGGCATCAAAAAAGTGTCCTTATTCGCGAAGTGTCGTTATACCCGAAGTCTCATTATAATACATGTAATATGTATTACAGTTGGAAGGGACTTTGCTCTGGGCATGGAAATGCTGTCCTCATTCGCGAATTGTCGTTATTAGCGAAGTTGACTGTAATTGGTGTTTGGGTCCTACAGTATTTTTTTTTAAGGATGAGTAGTTGTGGACTGGAGTGTTCAACGTACTTGTTTGTTGTGTTGTACATGCTGTATTTTTGTATTTAGGTTCCATACTGCGGCCACAGTGCAGTGTAGTGCTTGGCTGGTGAGCAGGCTAGCCGTGCATCCTTTCTCCTTTGAAGTTCAACTGGCATGTACACGTATGTGTACCACTGGCTTCTTTCCTGTACGTGTTGGTAATACAGCAGTATAAAGGCTTGTCCTGTACTGCATGTATTAGCCTTGATTGCATTAGCAAATCACCAAGCAACCCAACACCCTCATTTGTACATGTACTGCCTTGTTTTGTGTATGCATATATGAAACACACAGTTGCTAACACTTTGACAATCTATTGGATTGGAGCTGCTGGTTGCCACCCCGACTGTGATGTTTGCCGCAAAGCGCTTACCAAAATGGGACCTGTTGAATGTGCAGTACCGTCAGGCTTTCATTCAACCTGGACCATATTTCTCTGGAATATTGGAAATATGATCAATGTCTAAAGAATCCCCAGTGTGTACTTCTTGAAGTATCAATCAACTTGAATCAAGGCTTGCAACTGGTTATGGATTACTGAAGGACCTCTGGAATGCAGTGTTGCTCTATATTTCGTTTTATACTCTTTTTATGTTCATTTGTGTGTCCACCTCTGTGCCTTGCATGCTTGATGTGTACGTACTTGTTGGACATCTTCAACAAGGCTATTGATGCTCCAGGTTAGCACGTGTTCTATGTGCTCTCTGGCTATTCTGGATGAATGTTCGTGTTGAGTGTGACCAACACCTGTGGCCGGTATTGCTCTTGCAAGTGCCATGCACTGGTGCACTGTGTGCCATCTCAGCTATGCTGCTGACTCTATCTACTTGTCCCCTCTTCCTTGCCTTGTAAGCTCTCAGCTTGGAGAGGGGCCTAATCGCTTTTCAAGCAGTTCAATGTGTTCCCTGGCTGCCTGTGTCTGTCATGCATTGCCTTTTGTCAATGTCCTAATTTTCAGTACTGTACTGCTGTATGTGGCATGCATGGGGGGGGGGGGGGGGGGGTGCAATGGAGTCGAGTGTAGTGTACTGGCACTAGTACCAGGCAGAATGAACTTCTCCTACATGTACATATGTGCGTATACCTGGTACTGGGTACTGCCACTTGATGAAGTTGTAGCCGCCAGGAGCCCATTGTCACTTAACAATTACCTGCCTGATTTAAAGGTAGCTAATGTAATTGTGATCTAGCTGAGTAGTCACTTTGCCAGTTTGCCTCTTGAGTGGACTCTTTCTTGGTGCTAGTCCACTTGCACGACAAGCAAGCTGCAAGGGATGTTTGATTAGGAAATCTTTCTGTGGGCCATCACCTCCCATAAGCACAACTACAACAAACGTGTACCCACCACAGAGTATGATGGTTAGACTTAGAGGCTATACAATTTCTGTGTTGTGTGTGTGTGCTCCTGATGCCAGTGCCTATGGGATCCTTGCAGACTGTGCGTACAGTCCACTCTTTTGTTACCTCCTTTGTTAACACTTTGTATTGGGGTGAAGAGTGAGATGTCCTAAACAAAGTATCTGTCTCCCACTCCCAGTCTCTTCTTCTCTTTGGGTACGAAATGCAATAAAGGAGAACTTCTGCATGTGTCAGAATTCTTCACCACAGCGATGGTAACTGATATCAGGGACAACTGTCCCTGGAACGTGCTACATGTGCCTGCCCCAAAGCTGCAACATGCCACCTTAGCTTGGCACTTGGCTCCAGCATGCTTCGTCTCCACACTGTCCCAGTCGCAGTCTGTCGTTATTATGAATTATTGTGTTTCCATGTTTGCTGGCGCCTGACGATGAGGATGGAACTCCGCATGCGGTATGAGTACTTCATAGCTACTCGGTACTCGTTCAGGTGTCACGGGAATCAGTGGCAATGGTGTGTGCATGTGTCCACTACGCTAGCACATCTACTTCCATAACATTGATCCGGTCGACCCTTGATTAATTTCTTCTTCCTACAATCTTGTTGGCTGTACAGTGGTGAATACAGCAGTCCCATGCCACAGAGCAATGCGAGTGGAAAAATCCGCTTTGCAAGCATAGCCCCAGGGCATGGACTGGGGGTGAGATATACAATGTAACGTAAATGCATCGGTTTCCGTCGCTGGTGGAGTAGACGCACTCAACCTCCTGTCATATACACCTTGCCGGGTCTCATCAGAGGAGCTGAGAGTGACTTGCGGATAGCCAGATAACTAATTACTTTGACCAAAACCAGAAAGAGTGCTCAACGAAGAC